CTGCACTCCCTGGCCACAGCAGAGAGCTGGCCTGGAAGTGGGGCAACAGGGACAGAATCCAGTGCCCATAGCAGGACTAGAACCTGGTGTGCCAGCACCGCTAGGCGGAGGATTAGCCTAGTGAGCCACGGCGCCGACCAAAAACATTTATTTTTTTGAAAGTCAGAGTTACAGAAAGAGAGGGAGGAATACAGACAAACAGACACCACATGCGCACACACACACACACACACACACACACACAAGGTAGAAGGGGAGAGGGAGAGAGAGAGAGGGAGAGAGAGACAGACAGAGATACAAAGAGAGAGGTCTTACATCTGCTGGTTCACTTCTCAAATAGCCACAATGGCAAGGGAAGTGCCAGGTGGAAGCAGGAACCAGGAGCTTTCTGGGTCTACACTGTGGGAGAAGCAGCCTAAGCATCTGGGTCATCTTTCGCAGCTTTCCCAGGCACATTAGCAGGGAGCTGGATTGGAAGTGGAGCAGCCAAGACTGAAGCCAGCACCCATATGGGATGCCAGTACTGCACCGCTGGCTGAACCCATTACACCATAGTGCCAGCCCCGTAGGCTCCTGGCTTTAAACTGACCCTCCCTAGCTGTTGCAGCCATGTACGAAGTGAACCAGAGGATGGAAGATCAATCCCTCTCTGTCTGCGGATCTCTCAAATAAATAAATCTTAAAAGAAACTGTTATGCCCAGATCGCTGAATCCCCAAAAATCACCAGAGACTCGGTCTCACCGAAATGCAAAAGCAAGGTTTATTCTGGAAGTACAAGCTGCGGCAGGGACCTCATCTAACCAACCGATGCAGCGGAGGTCAGAGGAAGGCCCCGAGCTTTGTTCGGGAGCGTTTTTAAAGGACAAAGCTGCAGGGTTACATCAGCAAGGGTTTGGGGTACAGGGCTACAGTGGATTGAATGGTGCCATTCCTGGTAGCTCTTGGTTGGACGAGGCTGATCCTGATTGGCTCGGGCCCAGGGCATTTCCTTATTTGGTAACTGTTGAATATTTGCTTTTACAGGAACTTGGGCCTGCTCCAGAAAATGGAGGCTGCTTTTTAAAATGGAGGTGCCTTGGCTCTTCAGAACTGAGGCACCAGTGCTGTGGCATAGCAGGTAAAGCTGCCACCTGTGACACTGGCAACCCATATCAGGAGGCTGGTTTGAGTCCCGGCTGCTCTGCTTCTGATCCAGCTCCCCGCTAACGTGCCTGGGAAGGCAGAGGAAGATGGCCAACTACTTGGGGCATTGCCAACTGAGGGGAGACCTGGATGGAGTTTGGGTGCCTGTCTTCAGACTGGCCTAGTCTAAGCCATGGTAGCCATTTGTGGGGGGGGGGGGGGGGCAGGTGAACCAGTGAATGAAAGTTCTCTCTCTCCCCCTCTTTGCACGCTCTCTCTCTCTCTCTGTCTCCACCCGTGTGTGTTTATTGTCTCCCTGTATCTGTAACTCCACCTTTCAAATAAATAGTTTTAAAAATAAAAGCAGTCTAATAAGACATTTTCTTAGCAGTTTCCTTTGGGATTTACACCGCATTGAATTCTTGGGGCAGTGCCCACAGAGATTCCGCCTCCTCATTTTAGTCCAGCGTGGACAAGATAGGACTTTCCGCAGCATGTTCAGGCTACTGCTGAGCAGAGCTGGGGGACACAGAGTCCTCAGGGCCATCACTTACCTTGGGGGAGATGAATTTTCTAAAACCAGGTGGGTCTGCAAGGCTCCCACCAGCACTGGGGAGGAGTGATGAGAAGGAGAGCTGTGGTGTGTCTCTTGTCCTTGCCGACGCTGCTTTGCAGTCCGGATGGGAACTCTGTTTTTCCTCCAACTGGGTTACTTGAAGGGACTTGGAAAACCTCATGGAAAATGGAAATAAAGGATGAGCTTATTTGTTACAGTTTTTGAAATTCATGCATAGGAGAGGGGATACAAAACATTCACGGGCAAAGTATGTTAAGGACAAACTAGGCACAGGTTTTCAAAAGTTTTTGCACCTAAATAAATTTTGAATTCTATATCTGGTGATGTTTTGGTAGTATCCTGAGTTTCATCTTTATTTGATCTGCCTTCAAAAACTCCAACCTTATTACAAAGATGAGTTTTTACCTGTGCTTAATGGAAAACAGTTCCCAAAATCTTCATAATTTAATTTTTTTGACTTTTGTAGCAAAACTGTAGTGAGAATTCCTGGGGTGCTGGTTCTTTCCTCTCAGCCCTGAGGAGGTGACCAGCACTGCAGGAAATCATGGAGAAATCGCATTGTGCAGTGTCCCTGGACATCCTGGAGGAGGGGGTCATCTCCCCAGGGAGGGGTTCCTCTCCCAAGAGGGCGTGGGCAGTCGGTGCAGAGGGACCATCATGTGTTCCTGGGGCCCATGGCTGTGCTGGGCCTGGGGGCTCCTCAAGAACTGCAGGAGACACAGATCCACTTGCTATGTGGGGGCAGGGGTTACCGGGCTCACTTCCTACCTGAGATGAGTTTGTCGCTTCCTTGGGAGAAACACTGGTCCTGAGGGCTCAGCACGAAGCTGTCCCAAGGAGACAGATCTGAGGCTGTGATGCGGCCATCGTCTCGTCCTAGTTCTGGGCTGTGCAGGTCCTGAGGAGTTGAAGCAGGCAGTTTCTCCTTTTTTTCTAAGATACGTTCTATGTGTGTGAGAGTGAAGAGGGGAAAGAGAGAGTGCTAGTGAGAGAGAGAGAGACAGAGAGAGGAGCTAGGTGGAGGGAGCTAGGGAGCTCTTCCATCCTCTGATACAGCCCATAAATGACCTCCAGGGCTTGGCCAGGCTGAAGCCAGGAGCCAGGAGTTTTGGTTGTTGTTACAGGAGCCCAAAAACCCCAAGTGCCTGGCAGTGCCTCGATTCCTCCCTACCGGGTGGAGGACAGTCTCAGAGGATGTAGCTTTCTCGGCTGCCTCTGATTGGGCCTTCCATGTTTGGACTGCACAGACCCTACTACCTTCTGGGCTTCCAGGGTTTCTGCCAAGAAATCTGACGATGACTTAGGGGGAAAGGGTGACAAAGCCACCTTCCTCTCAGCTCTGGAGGTGCGAACAGTGTACCTGGAGGTGTCTTGGGCAGCAGAACACTTGTTGAGTTTACCGAAGCCAGAGATGTTGTTCCATCATTCTGAGACCCATCACTCAGAGAGTAAAGACAAAGGAGGGGCTATACTAAGTGGAGACACTAGGAGGACTTCAAAAGACACAACGTATCATCATATTTAAACTAGTAATGTGAAGGCCACCCAAGCAATCTATAGGTTGGAGTTTCTCAAAAATTAAGTATCAAGCCCTATCACCAACCTAGGCCAAAAACTCTTTGGGTATCGTTTTAATTTAATTGGAAGATTCTCGAGAAAACCACTGTGGATGAACCACAGCTCCCATTGGTCAATTTCTTGCTCTGACTTCATAAGGCACCACTGTTATGAAAGTCGTATTATTACACAGTCCCTGGCTGGGCTGTGATTGGTCCATTTCTTGCTCTGCTCTCACAAGGCGCCATTATGTGAGGTGAACCCCCAAAAAGTATATATAGCCGCTGCGGGGGCCTAGATTTTTGTCCGCCTTACCCAGAGAGCACTCTTTTGTGATCTGTGTAACTAGGACCCATCTAACCAGCCTTTGCGCTCGTTGGTGTTGCTTGTGCTTTTTCTTGGTTGTTTGTTTCTGGGTCTATTTGGTTTTTGCTTTTTTCCATTTTGTTTAGTTTGTTGTTTTCCTCCTCGTTGTTGTTTTGCCCATTTGGTCTTTTTTTGCAGTTTTCTTTATTTTTGCTTCCCCCACTCTAGTCAGCTAGCACACTCAGAAGTATCAGCGTTCGAGGATTTAGTGGCTTTTCCTCTTTGTTTTTTTCTGCTTTATTGAGATAGGCTTGCGGCTTCGCCTCTAGAGTAGTGAGAGTAGCTGGTGCTGTGTCTTAGTCAGCTGGGTAGTCAGTCCCCCGTGGTCCCTTTGTGTTGTAGGCAGTGCAGTGAGGATCGGTGATTAGCTAGTGTGTGTCGAGTGATTTAGGGAGTCGAGAGAGCGTAGTTAGGTGACCGGCATCATGGAAGACCCCTTGGACTTCCATCCTGCTCTGGACGGGTTCCGCTTCGTGGACGTGATCGGCCGGGGCGGCTTTGGCCTGGTGAAGCTGGCCCGGCACCTAGCGTCGGGCAAGTACGTGGCAGTGAAGATCCTCCTGCGAGACTGCTCTCCCAGCAGCCCGCTGTCCGCGCAGGGGGAGGCAGCCATCCTGAGGAGCCTGCGGCACGACAACATCGTGCGGCTGCTGGAGGAGCGGCACACGAGGACGCACCTGTTCCTGGTCATGGAGCTGGCGACCAAGGGCTCGCTCCAGAGCTACGTGTTTGAGCAGGGCGGCCTGGCCGAGGCTGAGGCCAGGACCCTGTTCGGCCAGGCGCTGGCCGCCGTGAGCTACTGCCATGCCCAGCATGTGGTAAGGGCACGCTGGTAAGGGGCTTCTGGGGGACCCCCGAGTACTGCGCACCGGAGGTTTTCCTCGGGGAGGCCTATGACGCTTTTAAGGCTGATGTGTGGAGCCTGGGGGTGGTGCTGTTTGCCATGCTGGCGGCCACGCTGCCCTTCCGCGGCAAGGACACGGAAGAGCTGCAGGACACGGTGCTGTGTGCCTGCTATGTGCTGCCGCGTGCTGTCAGCCCGGCCCTGCGGGAGCTGCTGGCTTGGCTGCTTACTGTCGACGCCTCGGGGAGGCCCAGTGCGGAGGACGCCAGGACCCACTGGTGGTTCAATCCCGGCCAAGAAGCCCCCAGGAGGAGAAGGAGGCCGCTGTCACCCTGCTGCAGCCCCTGGGCGTTCCCCGGGACTCAGAGGCCAAGGAGTACCTGGCGGGCCTCGGCCTGCTGCCAGGCACGGGGACTGAGGGGACGCCAGGCCCTCAGCCCCAGGGCCCTGTGTCCCTGCCCAAGTCCTCACAGGGCGGGGAGCACCTCACCAGAGAGAAGGACCGCTTGTCTCTGGTGTCGGTGTCCTGTGACAGCATGTCCGTCGACATTTCCTCCGGACGAAGCGACTCCTCCGAGGCCTCCAGTGAGTCTTGCCCTCCCCCCTGCCTTGGGGCCTCCAGGAGCTGAGCCCAAGGCCCCAGAGGTGACCCCACTCTTGACTCTCTCCTACCAGGCCAGCCACAGCAGGAGAGGAGCCCTGCTCCCAGCACCGCCCCCAACTCCTCCCAGGCCTCCAGTGAGTCTTGCCCTCCCCCCTGCGACTTTGGGGCCTCCAGGAGCTGAGCCCAAGGCCCCCGAGGTGACCACACTCTTTACTCTCTCCTACCAGGCCAGCCACAGCAGGAGAGGAGCCCTGCTCCCAGCGCCGCCCCCAACTCCTCCCAGGCCTCCAGTGAGTCTTGCCCTCCCCCCTGCGACTTCGGGGCCTCCAGGAGCTGAGCCCAAGGCCCCCAAGGTGACCCCACTCTTGACTCTCTCCACCAGGCCAGCCACAGCAGGAGAGGAGCCCTGCTCCTAGTGCCAACCCCAACTCCTCCCAGGCCTCCAGTGAGTCTTGCCCTCTCCCCACATCCCCTGCCACTTCGGGGCCTCCAGGAGCTGAGCCCAAGGCCCCCAAGGTGACCCCACACTTGACTCTCTCCTACCAGGCCAGCCACAGCAAGAGTGGAGCCCTGTTCCCAGCGCCGCCCCTGAGCCAGCCTCCGAAGCGTCGCCCTCCAGCCCCAGTGCCGGGAGCCATGTGGACATTGCAGAGCCAGAAGCCGCCGCCGCCGCAGCATCCCGTGAGCCCAAGGATGCTGACACCACAGACACCAAGGCCAGCGCCCAGGGCAAGAGGCAGGGCCGTCGCGGGGTTGGCAGGAGGATCCTCCAGTTCCTGCTGAGGGCATGCTGCATCCTGCCGTCCCGAGGGAGCAGCCCTGGCAGCTGCTGCAGAGTGGTCCCCAAGTAGCCTCGCCCCGCCCCCGTCTCCAGGAGCTATCCGCTGAGCTGACTGAACTTTTCTTTTCTTGAGCATTTGCACATGCTTCTCATGAATAAAATTCACCATGTGTGCATGGCTTTGGTCCCGTGTGATGTTTGGGTCCCTGTGTGCACCCTGGGGAGGTGATGGAGGTGACGGGTGGGTGGCTCTCACAGAAAGACAAACGCTGGGCCATCTCCCCTGTGTGGGGATCACAGAAGGGCTGACATCATAGAAGTAGAGCATAGAGTGGACGGATCCCTGAGCCTGGGCCAGGGGAGGAGGGAGGGAGAGTCACAGCTTCCATAGTGGCACAGGCACATGGGGGTCGGGGTCTGATGAAGAGTTGACGAACCAGGAGAAGAAGAAAATGGATCCGAAGCGCTGATGCCTCCTGGACCCTGGGGGGAAGCTGAGCTTGATGCCCTAGCCTGCCCAGGGCTTTCCGGTGACAAGCCTATGAACTCCTTTTCATTCTGAAACCTGCTTGGGGGGAGCTTGTCTTATTTCCATCCAGCATGCTGAAACTCTTCCTGTCTTCATAGCTGGGAAGTTTCATTTTTCAGGCCTGCAAGCACAGAAGTTTCATTATCCCCCCTTGCCTGGAATTTGGAGCTTCCAACCCAGTCCCCTCCAAGAACCCTGTTTCTTCCTGTTGGTGGGGAAATTACCTGCAGTCCCTAAGGGTCATTACCCTTTCATGGCTGCTGCCCAGGAGCCTGCACAAGCGCATCATGGAAGAGGAAATGGGAATGAGCTGTAAACGATGAAGAGATGACACCTTAAGGGACAGGAAAATCAAAATGCAATGGGGGGGAGGGGCAGCAGTATGGTGTAGGTGGTAAAGCCCCCACCTGTGATGTTAACATCTCATTTGGCTGCCAGTTCCAGACCCGGCTGCTCCACTTCCTACCCAGCTCTCTGCTAATGTTCCTGAGAATGCAGTGGATGACGGCTCAAGTGCACCCACTGGGGAGACCCAGAAGAAGATCCAGGCTTCTTCAAAGAGACATGCATGCACACATGCACAAGAATGTTCAGGACTACCTTGTTGATGATACCAAGACTGAAAACAACTGATGTATGTGTACACAAGAAGTAAAGATTAACTGTGGTATAGTTACTGAATGCATTTTAGAAGGCAATGAAAATTAATGAACTTCAGCTACATATGGATGTGGATACAATGTGAGTAAATCTAAAAATCATAGCTCTGGGGCTGGCACCATGGCTCACTTGGTTAATCCTCTGCCTTGCGGTACCGGCATCCCATATGGGCACCAGATTCTAGTGCTGGTTGCTCCTCTTCCAGTCCAGCTCTCTGCTGTGGCCTGGGAGTGCAGTGGAGGATGGCCCAAGTGTTTGGGCCCCTGCACCAGTGTGGGAGACCAGGAGGAAGCACCTGGCTCCTGGCTTCGGATCGGCTCAGTGCACCGGCCATAGCGGCATTTGGGAGGTGAACCAACGAAGGAAAACCTTTCTCTCTCTCTCTCTCACTGTCTAATTCTGCCTGTCAATAAAATAAAATAAAATGAAATAAAAAAAATAAAAAGCATAGCTCTAAGTAAGAAAGAGAACTCCCAAATACCTACAAAAGTCATTTAGAAACATACGATAATTGGTACATTATCCAGGGTTGTATCGGTAGAACAGCATAGGAGTGATCAACATAAACTCCTAAGAGTGTCTGTTCTTCAGAGGACTAATAGACCAGCATCCCAGTTATGTATGCTAACTCGGTGGTGGTTGTAGGCACGCTCACCCTACTCTTTACATTATATATGTTTTATACTTGTGTATGCATGTCACATGTTGCATTTTGTAGTGCAAATATTCATACAAAATGTAGCATTTTAACCATTTAAAATTACTTATTTCGTTCATTTGAAAGGGAGGGAGAGAAAGACAGAGATAGCTCTCTCATTCACTTGCTCACCCCCAAATGCCCACAACAGCCAGGGCTGAGCCAGGCAAAGAAGCTAGAGCAGGGAATTCAATCTGGGTCTCCCTGTGGGTGGCAGAGACCAAAGTACTGAAACCATCACCACTGCCTCCCAGAGTGCACAGTACAAGGCAGCTGGGGAACGGCAGGCACTGTGCTGTCAGTTACCCGCTGCTGGCAACACTGGTATCCCATATGGGTGCTGTTTTGAGTCCCCATGGGAGACCCAGAAGGAGTTCTGGGCTCCCAGCTTCTCCTGGGACAGCCCCGGCCTTTGCAGCCATTTGGAGAGTGAGCCAGCAGATGGAAGACCTGTGTGTGTGTGTGTGTGTGTGTGTGTGTCCCTCTCACTCTCTCAAATAAATGAGTTTTCTTTGAACAAGGAAGCTCGTGTTAGGAGCTGCATTACCAGGAAGCTGGAATCAGCCAGGTGGGAACAGAACCCAAGCACACCAAAATGAGATCCAGGCCTCCTAAACAGGCATCTTAAACCCCTTTGCCAAAAATCATGGCTAAATGTTTTTTAATTGAACAGTTCTATGGCACTAAGCAGAGTCATGTGGCTGCTTAGCCATCCAGTTTTCATCTCCAGAATCTTTTCATTACCAATTTTGTGAAGCTTTTGCGCTATTTTTCTTCTAAGGAGTTTTTTTTTTTTTTTTTAAGATTTATTTATTTGAAAGAGTTACAGAGAGGAGAGGCAGAGAGAGAGAGAGAGAGAGAGAGAGAGAGAGAGAGAGAGAGAGATCCTCCACCTGCTGGTTGGCTGCAAGGGGCTGAGCTGAGCTGATCTGAAGTCAGGCACTTCTTCTGGGTCTCCCACACGGGTGCAGGGGCACAAGGACTTAGACCATCTTCTACTGCTTTCCCAGGCCAGAGCAGAGGGCTGGATCGGAGGTGGAGCAGCCAGGACAGGAACCAGCGTCCAAATGGGATGCCAGCACTGCACACGATGACCTTACCTGCTACGCCACAGCACGGGCCTCCTTTCTGAGAGTTTTGTGCTTTGAGCTCTTCCACTTAGATCTTTGATCCATTTTGAGTTCATTTTATATTTACATTCTCATAGATTTATATTTTTACATTCATCTTATTTATATGCAAATTCATCTTTTTGAATTATAACGCCTTTTTAAACAGAAAGAAAAGAATCGCAGACTATCCGCTCCCGTAGGAACCCGCCGCATTACAGATATCTGGGGAGGGAAGCAGGACACACAGGGCTCACGCAGCTGCTTCTAACGCCCCCCGGGGCCTCGTGGCTCAATCCACTTTCGCAGCTCAACGCACCTGCGCACTGCGCAAGGCCCCTGCAGCTACAGTTGGGGCCTCGGGTTGGGATCCGCCCCTTCCTGCTGCGCGCCCGCCCACGTCTCAGCACTAGCCCCGCCCCCGTGGGCAGGCCCAGCTGGTCGAGGTCCCAGCGTTGAGAAACAGGCCCCGGGCTAGGGTGGGAGGGAAAACCCGGAAAAGTGGGATTCCTTCTGGTGGCCCGTCAGCGGCAGCTTGAAGGCCTGGCCTCCAGCTCCGTTGCAGTTGGTCATTCGGACCACGTTTTCACTTACGCCCAAGGCCGGACGAAAGCCGCGGGCCCTGGGCGGGGGACCCAGGCCGAGGGGAGGCGGGGCGCGTGCTCGGCCCAGATTGGCCATTCTAAACGGCGCGGGGCTTGGCGGGAGTTTCGTGGGCGCCGCGGGAGCAGAGAGCAGCCAGATGGCTCCGCCGGGCCGGGTGCGGTCCCGGAGGCGTGCGGGGTAAGAGCTGCGGGTCCCGCTCGGACTGACGCGGTTTGAGCCTTTGGGGCTGCGCTGGTGGAGCTTCCTTGTGGAAGTGACAGCTCGCCCAGGGCCTCGGTTTGCATCTCTCAGTGCGGATTTCCTAGGAGGAGTCAGGGCGTGACGCCTGGCCTGGCGGGTGGGAGAGACTTTGGGGTTCGTGGGGCTGAGGGTCGCGGGCGCTTGGTGCCTGCTGTTCCCCAGACGTGACGGGCTGCACCCCTGCGGGTCGTGTCTGCCTTCGTACCCCAAAGCGCAGACTGTAACGCTGGCCCTCACCCCTGCCCGGGGACCGAGCTGCCGCTTCGGGAGTGTTCCAGGGCGGGGAGCAACTTTTATCAAAAGGGGCAGGCATTGGAAAGTACGTCGTATTCGTCGTTCACAGATTCGTGAGTGGACGCCCGGGCTCTCTAGCGTTGTCTACAGGGCATCCAGGCGCCGAAAGGTTTTTAAAAACCTGTTGGAGATGGAGACTGAGGGAATCTGTTGAGCCCTTCCCTCAAAAATGCACAGGAAAACACGGTTGTCTCAAGCGTCCATCTTGAACGAAGCCTCACCTGGACTCCAGCTTAAGGCGTATTGTTTGATTTGAGCACACGCAAGAGACAGCTGGAAGTAATTTAGGTTAAGACGCGTACTGATGTGGTTTCTGCTTCCTGCTAACGTTACTTGACTGTGTGGCCATTGCTGGATTTTTGTGGGAGGCCATGGATTTGAACTGAACGTCAAGCCGGTCACTGGGCTTAGGTGGCTGGGGGAAGGCTCTGTAGCAGTTAACTAACTGGGCTGTAAGAAATGAACTGGATAAGGTGTTACCAATTGGTTGACTGGGTAGGCTGCAGCCAATTAAGTTAATGATGTGTGATCGCTCAGGTTGCTGGTGGTTCTCAGAACTTGCTTATAGTTCTGGGGCTGCTCCATTCCCTAATTGTTTCTGGTTTTGCTTTGCCCAAATAAACTCGTCTAAATTTAATTGAACTAAAACTTTCTGTTACCATCATTGATTAGTCATTTAGCTTTCCTGAACCTCTGAATTATAACCAGAATCATAAAATTGCCATTGAGCAAATACTTGTTTGTACCATTTTAGGTTTGGAGACTCAGAAAAAGCGTGGCAACTTGAGAAGTGTGAACTCTCCACCCAACCCTTGACTTACTGAGCCAGAAACTGGGGGTGGCGCCAGGCGTGAGACCACTGCTCTAAACAGTGTTCCAGCTTTCTTTTTTTTTTTTAACTGTGATTCACACAATGTTTTGCATCGCAGTTAGTACGCAGGTGCACATGAAACAAATTGGAAAGTTTATGAAAATATCCTATCCAGTGCAATCTTTTATTTTCTGTTCCCTTGAATTTCCCTTTTAAGAAAATACTAGGGTGAAAATCCTAAAGGGTGTTGGAGAGCCGATGAGATTTGGACATGGACTGTAGGTTGGATGATCACATTGCAAATGTGAAATATCTAGATTTTGGAAATCTGCTATGACTGTGCACGTGCATGCCCTCTTAGGGAAGCCATAGTGAAGTACTTCAGTTAGGAGTGCTTACCTTGCACAGGCAGAGGAAGCAAAAGAGACGGCGAAGGCAACTGATGAACCTGGGTACAGGGGAGACAGTTTGAAATCATGTCAAATAAAGTACCTGAAGAATATTGGTTCAGACACACTAATCTGATACTGCCCTCCACAAAGGAGTCTTTGAAAACTGCAAGGTGTATTTTAAGTCAGGAACTAGTACTGGATTCTACTAAAGTATCTCTAATACCCCATGCAGTGCCTCAGCTGTGGAGGGTGCTCAGTGCTTGTTCACTGACTGCTGATGTTAATATAGGTTTTTCTTGCCACTGTTGTTTTCAGTTGTTAGTCTAGTCACTGTTGTTGCATTTGCTTCCTTTTCACTTCTAGAAGATCCGCACCTTAATCTGTTTTACCCTGTGCCCAAGGTCACTGGAGAGTGTTATGGGGTGGGAAGAAGGTAGGCTGTGGATTTGAACCGATGGGGTTTTCCTGCAGGCTCCTCTCCTCCCTGGCTGCCTGTTGCTCTGTGCCCGTGCAGAGCTGTCACATGGTCCCCCTCTACTTCATAGGATTGTTAAGCTGTGTGATCCTGGGCCAGGCGCAGATGGAATGGGTGTGAGGAGTCTCATCCATGTTGGTATCCGTCCCCTTGGCTCAGCTCTGTAGAGAGTCAGTCTTCCCTGACAGATCCGGGTGCAGGGGCTAGCGTGACAGCAGGATTAGAAGTTTTCCATGATCTTGAGGGACCGAGGTGGTCACTTTATATGTATTGGTGATATGATTTGACTTGTATGTTTGCAGGGTATTGGTTCTGCTTCTTCATCATAACTTTAGTTCCATTACATGCACACTATTAGTACAGCTACTGAGCAGTGTAATTTGGGAAGACAATACTTGGAAAGAGTCAGGTTATGGTATTTTCTCTGGTTGCTTTAAATATTTCCTAACTTTTATTTTTTCCTGTTTCAGTGCAGTATATTCAAAGAACACTTTAAGAAGAACACATCCCATGAAAGAAGTAAGTTCTCACTTTAGCCTTTAATGTGGTTTTTCTCACAGTTGACAATAAAAGTAACCTTTGGTGAGGACCTTAGAGTTTTCTGTATTTCACGTGATAAGCTCTGTTTTATGGTAGTAAAAAAAAAAAAAAAAAAGTTTATTCCTTTTCTTCTCACTTTTTCCACTGTTAGAAAAGAACCTTTGTTAACATTTTAGAAACATTTCTTTTTTTCCAAGCCTAGGGTTGTTTCATTTAGATAATTAGCACTGTGTAAAAATTGTACAGCTTTCTGAATTTTGCCACTCCTCCCAGCCATTTCTCCGTGTTACTGACAATGGCTTGTGATTTCATGAGGTTCCATGTTGTCTACGTTAGTTTTATTTTTCTTCAGGAGAGTGTTAGAATACCTGTACGTAATGGCAGGTACGTTTCTTTAATGCTCTTGATAGCTAATTCCAAATTATTTTCCAACGGCCTGTCGCGTGGCATTGGAATTTCACATGAAGTCCAGGTGGTCAGGCAGTTGCGAGTGCGTGTGTTCTCTGTTCTGCCTCTGGCATCCTCCGGAACCCCAGCCTCCGGAGGCTTACCCGTATATTGAACTGTACACAGGCTCTCCTTCAGCCAGGACTGTCCGCCCCTGTGCTCCCAGAGCTGTGCACATCCAGGTGGCAGGCATGTTTCTGGGGAGACGGCCCACCATTCTCTTTAGGGATCTAGGCAAGCTATGGCCTGGGGGCCCAAACCAGCCTACTACCTCTTTGTACACAAGCCTGGGAACAAAGAATGATTTTTAAATAGCCAAAATAAACTAAAAAGGATATGCTGTGTGCTATGAAGATGGTGTGAAATGCAGAGGTCTGCATCTCTGAGTAGATTGTGTGGGAAGCCGGCCCTGCGCATTCCTGGCTGCGCTGTCCCTGCGGGCTTTCCCTCTGCAGTGGAAACCTTGTGACCTGCAAAGCCTGAAATGCTCTCTGGTGCTTTGTAGAAAAGGTTTGCCAGGCCGGCCTTAGAATTCCAGAGGCCTCTGTCTCCTGGAAAACAGCAGAGTGGCTAGCTTCTCTAGGCGGCAGCAGGAGCAGGAGTGTCCTTGCTAAGTCCAGCAGCTTGCTGCTGGTGTGCGTTAGCACCAGTTCAGTGACTTTGGTTTTCTTCACTTCCAGAAAGCTGGTCAGAAGCACAAGCCTGCTGATGTGTTTGAGTTTCCTGATAACTCCGAAATCTCAAGCAATGGCAGTGAAAGTAAGAAAGACGATGAACCTTACGAGACTTTTGGTTAGTATTTCAAAACTTTTTTTTTTTTTAGTTATTTACTTCAAAGAGTTACACAGAGAGGAGGAGAGGCAGAGAGAGAGGGAGGTCTTCTGCCCGCTGGTTCACTCCGTATTTGTCCGCCACGGTTAGAGCTGTGCCAATCTGAAGCCAGGAGCTTCTTCCGGGTCTCCCACACAGGTGCAGGGAGCAGAGGAGTTTGGCCGTCTTCTGCTTTCCCAGGCCACAGCAGAGAGCTGGATCAGAAGTGGAGCAGCCAGGACTAGAACCGGAGCTCACATGGGATGCCAGTGCTGCAGGCAATGGCTTTACCCGCTACACCATAGCACCTACCCCCGGTGATTGATTTTCACTTAGCATGGTGTTTCCAAGGTTCATCCGTATGGTAGCATGCATCTGGCTGTTCCTAAACATTTTTATTCCTCGGTATTCTATTGTGTGGGTGTACCACATGTTGTAATCCATTCATAAGTTGGCATAAATTTACATGGTCTTCACTTAGGGACCATAATGCGTGATTGTTGTATGAACATTCATGAGCAAGTTTTTGTGTTGACATCTGTTTTCAGTTCTCTTGGGCATGTACCTCAGAGTGGAATTGCTGAGTACTTTGGTATTTGAGACAGAGAGAAAGGTCTTCCTTTCCTTTGGTTTACCCCCTAAATGGCCGCTATGGCTGGTGCGCTACGCCGTTCTGAAGCAAGGATCCAGGTCTTCCTCCTGGTCTCCCATGCGGGTGCAGGGCCCAAGGATTGGGCCATCCTCCACTGCCTTCCCGGGCCACAGCAGAGAGCTGCACTGGAAGAGGAGCAGCCGGGACAGAATCCGGTACCCCAACCGGGACTAGAACCCGGGGTGCCAGCACCGCAGGCGGAGGATTAGCCTAGTGAGCTGCGGCACCGGCCTTAAGCACTGTTTTATAAAGCATCTGTACCACTTTATTTTCCTCAGCAAGCTCTGAGGGTCCTAATTTCTTCACATCTTCTTCCAAAGTTGTTATATAATTTTTTTCTAGTTATTCTAGTAATTATGTGGTGGTTTTATGTGTATATATGGAAAAATGCAGCATAAAATTTGTAATTTTAACTATTTTAAGTGTAATTTTGTAACATTCACGTTGTGTTTTTTTAGTTGCTGTTTTTTATTTAGAGTTTTTTTCCCCATAAAACTTTCATTTAAGGAATACAAACTTAACGCATTTCATAAATACAATTTTAGGAATGTAGTGATTCTTCCCACTGTACCTACCCTCCCACCCACACTTCCAGCTCTTTTCCTCCTTCCTCTCCTATTCCCATTCTTATTTTTTACTAAGATCTATTTGCAGTTAACTTTATAACACATACGGTGAACTCTATACTACGTAAAGAGTTCAACAAATTGTATGAAGAAGAAAAATGTTCCTCAAGAGTCAACATGGGCTGTTCAAAGTCATTTCATCTCAAAGTATTAATTTCACTATTACAGATTACCTTTTAGATGCTCTGGTAATTATCACAGATCATAGACAACATGGTATGTGCATTTGGGACCGGTGTAGTTCACTAAGTGAGGCGTTTTCCAGTTTCATCCACTTTGTGGCAAATGACTGGATTTCATTTTTTTTTTTACTGCTGTGTAGTATTCCATAGTGTACATATCCCATAATTTCTTGATCCAGTCTTCAGTTGATTCCATATCTTAGCCATTGTGAATGGAACTGCAATAAACATGAGGGTACAGATAACTCTCTCATATGCTAATTTATTTTTGTTTGGGTAAATTCCAAGGAGTATGATGGCTGGGTCATATGGTAGGTCTGTATTCAGATTTCTGAGGTATCTCCATACTGTCTTCCACAGTGGCTGTACAAGTTTACATTCCCACCAACAGTGGATTAGTGTACCCTTTTCCCCACATCCTTGCCAGCATTTATTGATTTCTGTATGAAAGCTCTTCTAACAGGGGTGGTTTAGATTTGCATTTCCCTGATGGCTAGTGATCTTGAGCACTTTTTCATGTGTCTGTGGGCCGTTTGGATTTCCTCTTTTTGAAAAAGTCCCGTTTGAGTCCTTTGCCTGTTTCTTAACTGGGTTGTTTGTATTGTTGTTGAGTTTCTTGATCTCTTTATATATTCTGTTATTAATCCTTTATCAGTTGCATAATTTGCAAGTAATTTCTCCCATTCTGTTGGTTCCTCTTCACTTTGAGTGTTTCTTTTGCAGTACAGAAGCTTCTCAATTTCATGTGATCTCACTGTCAATTTTGACTTTGCTTACCTGTGCCTCTGGGGTTTTCTTCTAAGAACTCTTTGCCTATGCCAGTGTCTTTCAGGGTTTCCCCAATGTTCTCTAATAGTCTGATGGTATTGCATCATAGATTTAGATCTTTAATCCATTTTGAGCAGATCTTTGTATAAGGTGAAGGTAAGAGTCCTTCTTCATACTTCGGCGTGTGGAGATCCAGTTTACCCAGCACCACTTGTTGAAGAGACTGTCCTTGCTCCAGGGATTGATTTTAGCTCCTTTGTCAAAGATAAGTTGGTTATGGATGTTCAGGTTGATTTCTGGCATTTCTATTCAGTTCCATTAGTCTATCTGTTTTTGGCCAGTACCAGTTTGTTTTGATTCTAACTGCCCTGTAGTATGTCTTGAAATCTGGTATTGTGATGCCTCCAGCTTTATTTTAGTTGTATAGGATTTTGTTAGCTATTCGAGGTCTCCTGTGTTTCTATATGAATTTTAGCTTTTTTTTTTTTTTTTTGTATCTGAGAAGAATGTCCTTGGCATTTTGGTTGGTATTGCATTGAATCTATAAACTGTTTTTGCTAGTGTGGACAATTTGATGACACTGATTCTTCCAACCCATGAACATGGAAGCTTTTTCCTTAAATTTTTTTCTTTTTTGTGGCTTCTGTTTCTTTAATGTTTTGTAATTTTCATTGTAGAGATCTTTGCCATCCTTTGTTATTTTATTCCAAGGTATTTGATTTTTTTTTTGATTGATCTTAGAAGTTCTTTCTTAGCCATGGCATTGTCTATGTAGACAAAGGCTATTGATTTTTGTGTGTTGATTTTATATCCTGCCACTTTACCAAACTCTTCTATGATTTCCAGTAGTTTCTTAGTGGAGTCTTCTGGATCCCCTATATATAGAATCATGTCATCTGTAAACAGGGATAGTTTGACTTCCCCCTTTTCAATTTGTATCCCTTTGATTTCTTTTTCTTCCCTAATGACTGTGGCTGAAACTTCCAGGGTGATATTGAATAGCAATAATGAGGGTGGGTATCCTTGTCTGGTTCTGGATCTCTGTGGGAATGCTTCCAACTTTCCCCCATTCACTATGAAGCTGGTCTTGGGTTATTCATACATTGCCTTGAGGAATATTTCTTCTGTATACAATTTGCTTAGAGTTTTCATCATGAAAGGGTGTTAAACTTTATCTGATGCTCTCTCTCTATCTATTGAGATAATCATATGGTTTTGGTTCTTCAGTTTGTTAATGTGCTGTATCACATTGATTTGTGAATGTTGAACCATCCCACTTGGTCTAGGTGAATGATCTTTCTGATGTTGGATTTGATTGGATAATATTTTCTTGAGGATTTCTGCATCTATATTCATCAGAGAAACGGGTCTGTAGTTCTCTTTCTCTGTTGTATCTTTTCCAGGTTTAGGATTTAAGGTGATGCTGGCTTCATAGAAATAATTTAGGAGGATTCCGTCCCTTTTAATTGTTTTTGAATAGCTTCAGAAGAATTGGAGTTAGTACTTCTTTAAATGTCTGGTAGAATTCAGCAGTGATGCCATTGGGTTCTGGGCTTTTCTTTGCTGGGAGAGTTGTTATTATTCAGTTTCTGTTTTGGTTATTGTTTTGTTTAGGTTTTCTATGTCTTCATGGCATAGGTAAGTTGTATGTGTCCAAGAATCTATCCATTCCTGTAGGTTTCCCATTTTGTTGGCATACAGCTATTTGTAGTAGTTTCTGATGATTGTTTTTATTTCTGTGGTATCTATTCCATATCCTTTTTCATATCAATTTCATTGATTTAGGTCTCCTCTTTTTTTTTTTTTTGTTAGTTGGCCCAATGTCAGTTTTATTTTTTTCAAAAAGCCAGCTTCTCTTTTCTCTGATCTTTTGAATTTTTTTTTTCTCCCTTTTTTTTTAACTTTTATTTAATGAATATAAATTTCCAAAGTACGATTTATGGATTACAATGGCTTCCCCCCCATACCGTCCCTCCCACCCACTACCCTCCCCTTTCCCACTCCCTCTCCCCTTCCATTCACATCAAGATTCATTTGAAATTATCTTATTATACAGAAGATCAGCTTAGTATACATTAAGTAAGGATTTCAACAGTTTGCTCCCACACAGAAACATAAAGTGAAAAATAATAGATGATTTTTTTAAATGATGATGAAATCAGATCAGACCTATTGTCATGTTTAATCCCAGTGAGAGTCAAGTTGGGAGTTGATAATTTCTTTTTTTTTTTTGTTACAGAGGATCAGTTTAGTATGCATTAAGTAAAGATTTCAACAGTTTGCACCCCCGTAGAAACACAAAGTGAAATATACTGTTTGGGTACTCGTTATAGCATTAAATCTCAATGAACAGCACATTAAGGACAGAGATCCTACATGAGGAGTAAGTGCACAGTGACTCCTGTTGTTGACTTTACCAGTTGACACTCCTGTCTATGGCATCAGTAGTCTCCCTATGCTCCGGTCATGAGTTTCCAAGGCTATGGAAGCCCTCTGAGTTCTCCGATTCTTATCTTGTTTAGACAAGGTCATAGTCAAAGTGGAGGTTCTCTCCTCCCTTCAGTGAAAGGTACCTCCTTCTTTGAAGACCTGTTCTTTCCACTGGGATCTCACTTGCAGAGATCTTTTGCCAGAGTGTCTTGGCTTTCCATGCCTGAATACTCTCATGGGCTTTTCAGCCAGATCCAAATGCCTTTAGGGCTGATTCTGAGGCCAGAGTGCTATTTAGGACATCTGCCATTCTATGAGTCTGCT